TACTCAAAAGCGGTTTTATAACAGTGCCGCACAATAAATCAAACATATCAATGTATGATATATTCAAAAAACTCAATCAACAAATATTTAAACAGACAATGAAAACAGATTTGTTTCTATCCTAGGTGGAGACTGAGGTCTTTCAACATCTGTGGAGCTATAATGAAGATACATGTGTTGGCTAGTGTAGTCATGTGTTGGGGCAGCTGTCTGATGGTGAGGCCTTCATTAGGAAGCAGAGGAAGCTTTCTGACGGTGGGGTCAGAGAGAAAGATAGTCTCCAAAATAAAGACTGTTCTCGTCTTTCTCTGTCATCCTCTCCAAAATGAGATGCAGCCTCAGCAGCTCATTCAGCAACAGGCTGAGAATGCAGAGCTGCACCACATAAGGACACGGTGGATCATAGACACTAAATGACGCTTAGCAATGGCAATCTAATTATTACTTAATACTCTTTTTAGATTTATTTTTTAACCTGTTCATTTTAGAGTTATGTCTTTTTATTTTTTATTGCAGGACTTTTACTCTTTTGATGCTTTCTATTCTGTTGCACCCTGTAACAAAAGGAAATTTCCTTTTGAGGATTTAAAAAAAGGTCGTTTCTATCTTATTCTAATGCAAACGGATCATTGAATTCCCATTTTGCATGCATATCTGATTTTAAAAGCACCAAAGATGCGGAAGGTCATCAAAGCTATTGAAGGATGAGAAAAATCTGGATTTATTACATTCAACATTTTTAAGGGATTTTCTAACATCCCACAAGTTCAGGCTTTAAAGACACATTTACCCAGTGTGAGAGTTGTCCCTCTGGGTAGAGTTTCCTGATTTCTGTGACAGCAAAGTAGGCTGGCAGCAGGCAGGCATTTCTGTCCAGAATATATTCAACCACCTTTAACAGAAGCAGATATAAAGGTTAAAAGGTGACATGTTTGTGGTGTTTACAAAAATAAAAGCCCTGAAACACGTAAAGATCCAAGTGATTCGAGTACCTCTCTAGCTGCCAGAAGCTGCTGCACAATAGCTGAGCTGACAGTGGTGGGGATGGTCTGGATTTTATCCAGAACAGCTTTCAGCAGATCACGGACACCCTGGATTAAAAAAAATCAACATATAGCCCCCAATGAAGCACTTCAGTTTTAAAAAACTAAAAATAAAAAATATATTAAAAAAATGAGGTAATAGCTCCTTATCGTGGATGCTTTTGTGTGTCAGTGACCTTGTAGTCCACCCCTCCGATGATCTTGCGAATAAGTTTGAAAGTTAAGGCCCACAGTCGAGTCCTTTCCCACTCCAAGCTGTCAGAACTAATCAAGGCAACACACACCATCCTAAAAAAAGACATTTCAGATTAATTACACGCTAATTAAACTGGTAACTAGGAATTACGGGGGACTTTTGCGTGCTGACCTTGGCGGTAACAAACTGGTCTCCACAGCCATGGCCAGACAGTCGTAGAGGAAGGAGATCCTTTTTGGACTGTGCTGACTGTGGATAAACCGCACTATCCATTGCACACACTGCTCATGGGACTCCTGCAGAAAGACAGAGAGCCAGTTAAAGAAGGCTGCTTTTGTGGCTGGATGGTGTTTAAATTTGCACATATAGAGACCTGTGGCAGAGTTCCCCAATACTGTCTGAAGGCTCCAAGACAGCTTATCAGTTTAGTCCTTTCATCCTCTGGAGTATCCATGAACATCCTAAAAAAAAAAAAAAAACTCCGGACTTATAGCATGCACCTTTGAATAACACGTTGCATATTCCTGGGCTGGTCACATATAAAACACTTACTAACTCAATTTAAGCTTTAATAACTAAACTTGTACAGCGGTAAAGTATTAATAACTCTTGAATGTTTTCACATTTTCTCAAGTCACAACCAGAAACTTAAGTGTGCATGTATTTTATTGGTATGTTTTATAATAGACCAAAATGAAGTAGTATTTTAATGAGATGAGGAAAGTTCTTTCTTAAGAAGAGCAATCTCAGAGGTAGGATTTGTGTTTCTTTTGCAGCCTTGCAGCAGATTTCTTAAAGCCTGGAGTAAATGTACACATTTGATAATGGAACCTTGGCTTCTTTTCTTTCAGATCTTCCACAGAGTCTTAACAGACTTAGACTGTGACAGTTACATTTTCTATTAAGAACAGATCAGATTAAATTATTGTTTTCTGTCACAATTACGCACTGCTTTTTCATTAACATAAAGCGCAAATAAAATGCATGAACGTCGTGCAAGAACAAAATCTAAAAAGGTGCATGCAAATTATACATATAGAGAAACGGGTGTCCTACAATTGGAGACTTACCCTGCAAAAGCCTCTTCTATGATCTCAGTTTTCTGAGAAAAGGACAAAAACAAACTTAGAATCACAGCCTTTACCTTTTAGAAAGAAAACAAAACGCTTTACTTGTCCTAAAACCCTTAATCCTGTAGTTTTTTTGGGAAGGAAAATTCCCACCAGTTAATAAATGCGCAAAGACATTGTAGTATTCATGCAATAGCAAATAACTACACAGAAAATGTTTTTATGTTTCCATTTTTAAATCTATATCGAAATCAAGTTTTGCATTTCTTTAAAAGGCTAGCATGAACTGGAATGCTAACAGATGTTAGCTCGTCAGAAATCCCGTAATAAAGAAGCGTTTTACCACAACATCTTCGAAGATGCTCTGGAGCTGCGTTTCCATCGAAAGTGCCATGTCTGTCGCTTTAATTATAAATAATTTTCAGCCAAACATCACAGTGATCAAATTGATTACTCCATTACAGGAGCGCACAGTTATCTGCCAGCTAAAGGCTAACCACTGTGCTACAACTAAAACAATCCGGACGCTTTTGCGGGACGTGCAAAAATTGTTCCGCCTTTTTTATTGTTTGTTTTCTTTGTTTTTGTTTTGTTTTTTCTTTTAAAGTTGTTAAATATTTAACACCTCTTTGACCATATCGATTAATTGAACAGAACTTAAATTACGAAAATTAGTGCTTCCTTTTTTTTTTCTTTTTTTTTTATGTCAAAAACGGATTAAACATTGGCCAGTGGGCACTGGTTCTTCTAGAAACCACTCTTTCTGTTAAGTCTTTATGCTTAAAAAAATAACATGTACGAATTTGTTTTATTTCTGAAGTTTTTCTGCTGTCATTTGATGTTACCCGCTTCAAACTTTGATAAACTATTTAAGAAATTCATGTTCATAACCATTACCAGCAGCCCATCAAACTGTTAACAGTGGATGAAAACAGTGAAACGGTTAAAATGGCTCTGACGACTCTTGATTCGGAACTGATATTAAGATATCCAATTATTGCAAAAACAAGGAACCAAGGTTTTGCGAGGACAACCTTGAGAAGGGGGGTTGGGGGTACTATGCAACCTATCCATATTAAATGCAGGGCAAATGTATATGAGGTGCAACTCAGTAAATTAACATTATATTTTTTAAATATTCTTTCGAATTTTATCTAAAGTGGAATCGTTGTAAAGGTGGCACACAAAATGACACATTTTAAGCCTTAAATCCAGTTATGCTGAATCCTGTCATTAATAGGCTACTATATAACTTTCACTTTTTTTCACCCTTAGCCAATCATTGGCCACCCCTACCATTATTTTTCCCCTCTAATACAGACCGTGACAGCAGTAATACTCTCAAGTGGAATATTCAAAACATTTAAAATTTTCATATATTAGCAATTACTTGACAACAAAAACCCTTTGGTTAATTATGCACATCAATATACTAACATTAAAGATGATAAGTGCAGAATTCATGCTCTTTTCAGAAGTAGGTGTTCTTTATGGGGTAAAAAGAAAATAATCTGTCTCTGCAGGTCATCTAAGAGTCTTCAGTAAAATTACTGATAACTATTTTAATAAAACCTATTAAATAATCAATTTAGGTAGATACTTGTAAATATCAATTTTATGCAGAATGATGATGTTTGCCCCAGAACTCAACCCTGAAAGAATTGTATCCACTATACCTTTTATCTGGAAAGCACAGATGTTTAAATATTTATGCGTCTATTTGTCAGCAAAAGTTGTAGAAAGGTATAGTTTTTCTTTATTTAGAAAATATGGATGTTGTGCCCATTCATTTTCTTGTTGTAGATTGACCCTGAGGTCCTGGCCACCCTTATAAAAATTGTCTGGCTACGCCTTTGGTTCCCGATTATATTTTCAGTTTAAGTTGCACTTTTATGTGGAAGAGGATTAGGGCCACTGAAAAAAAAAAAAAAAAGTTAACTGATTTTACTTTAATCTCAGAATTCTGACTTTAATCTCTGAATTCTGACTTAAATCTCAGAATTCTCACTTTTTTTCTCACAATTCTGATTTTAATCTTACAATTCTGACTGAATTCTGACAGCTAACAAACATGTTAGCGTAAAGTCATAGCCATGTCTGTTTTAGACACTAAACTAGCTCTCTGATTTTAATCACCTTCTGCTCTTCGTTTAATGAAATAGCATTACCGGGGACCCCTTGGGAACGTAAAAAGTCGTCTAATTCCATCATTTTCCACCAATGTGTTACTGGCCCTCCCAAACAACTCACATCTTTGTCAGTGAAGCTGAGTGCTCCCACATCTCTTCCTTTATAGTGCCCATCTACATTAAGATCCAAAAGTCTGAGATTAAAGTCAGAATTCTGAGATTAAAGTCAGAATTCTGAGAAAAAAGTCAGAATTCTCAGATTAAAGTCAAAATCCTGAAAAAAGTAAGAATTCTGAAATTAAAGTGAGAATTCTGAAATTTAAGATTTAAGAATTCTGACTTTTTTTTTCTTTTTTTTTTACTGGCCCTAATCCTCTTCCGTACTTTTAACTATCAATTCACGCGCTGGTTTGATTTAATGCTCCATTTAGAAGGAGCTTATGAACACATAATTGCTGTTTCATAGAAAAGGCTGTAAACTTGGCTGGGAAACGAGACGGAAGTAGAGAAGAAAAAAAAGGCCGCATTGCTAAGTAGGGGACGGTCTGAAAGCTCAGGGCTACACCTGCTCAGGTGCTCAAACCAGAGAGGCCGCATTCCTTATGGCCAACACGGAAACCTGTCAGCGGGAATTATTTAGTTTTTAGATGCAGTTTCCAAAGGCAGCGACAGCTACCATCTCAGAGAGAAACTTTCTCTTTTATATTTTTATATTGGGGCTGTCAATTTGCCTCTGATCATTTCTTTGAAGTTAGAAGAAGGATCTGTTCTCAGACAGGTGTTTCATTTGGGATTTATATCCGCCGATTTCTTGGAAAAAAATGACCTCCCCGGACCATGATGTGGACTGAGCTGCTTTTTCTTTGCCTTTCTGTTCTGCATTGCGCAGGTATGATCAACTGGAAATTATTAACCTTTTTAATGAGGTTGGGTCTGTGGTTTGGGGTCTCTTGTTTTCTTAAACTATAATAAAAGAAAGCTTTACAGGTGAGGGCTTCACACCGTAATGTTTGTAAAAGCTGAATCAATTGTTCCAGTCTCTAAATCTGATTGGTCAAGCATGTGTGTAGTTTGGTTTCTATAGTTTCACTATATTTATTGAAAATAAAAACGCAGTCATAAAACGCTATAAATATTGTAATTGCGAATTTGTTAGAAGTCAAGCAAAAATGACAAGATATGTCACAAACAGGAGGGAATTTGTATAAAAAGCTTAACTTAACAGTAAACAATGAACAAATTTCCCTGCTTTTATTTATTTATTTATCAACTTTTTCTGCATTCAAACTAGGAAAGACAATCATATGTACTGACTTCTTGTGGAGGTACATGAAATTTAAATACCCTGCAAAATGTTTTGTCAAAGGAGCCTTTGAGGGAAAAATTACACATGACCAAACAGAAAATGGTTTTAATCCCTGTAAATAATAGAAAATGTAGGCCTGCTTAAAAATTAAAGGGAGAAGTTATGAGATAAAAGTTTGCATTTTGATTTTTCTCACAGTTTGTAGGCCTAAGCAGCACTTAAATAATCCTTTACTACACAGAGGAGAGCTGGATGGTCTTTCATATCTTAACATATAATATTTGACCTACTATACAACTTATTTCATTTACATTTATGGTAAAAACTATCAAGATTTGGTAGATCTAGGTAGTCTTCAGTGTCTTACTTCCCACAACATATGTCTCTTAATTTATTACAGTGTGATTAACAGATGGTAACGTAAATGCTGGATCAGTTTTTTATTCAGTGTGTTTCCTATATGAAAACATTTATTTCTTCTTTTGAACAAATGCAGCTTCAATGAGTCCTTTAAAAACCAGATTGATCTTAATTTTCTTGGTGGAACGTAAAGATTTTATGAGGGGGCAAACTTATCAGAGCAGAGGAAAGTTCAACAATGTTGGTTACATTCTCGGCAGATGACAGCAGCGGGTTTTACTTTCTGTTACCATTAAGGTGTGGTAAAGTGGTTTACTGGGACTGTAAACAAATTACACACACACACACATATATATATATATATATATATATATATATATATATATATATATATATATATATATATATATATATATATATATATATATATATATACGGTATATATATGGAGAGGATCTCGTTTTTAAAGCATAATGTGCAGCCTGACTTTATTTGGAAGTATGGTTTTCATCCCTTGTCACCTGTTTCTCCTCAGTCTCCTCCTCTCCACCTACGCCTGTTAATGTCAGCTTCTCTTCTGTGAACCTGAGGAATGTGCTCCACTGGTCTCCAGGAAGTGGCACACCAGATGGTACACATTTTGCAGTGGAATACATTATGTGAGTTCCTATTCGGCACTATCACCAATAAATTGTACATTCATGTATCTTTTTAAAGAAGCTTGGTTTCTACTCAAGTGTTTACAAATGTACTTTATGGGACAAAAAGGTGAGTTTTATTTTCACCTTGTGTGGACCTGTGTGTTTCACAGATATGGAGAGAGCACAGAGGCCAGCAAAGGAAAACGTGGGCATTGGAGGGCAGTGCAGCATTGTACTAATATTGTGCGGACTTGGTGTGATCTGAGTCTTGAAACATGGGATGAGGAAAAGGGATACCTTGCAAGAGTCCGTGCACTGGGAAGGAAGTCATCTTCAAAATGGACTCTGACAAAAAGAAGATTTGATCCAAAGTGGGACAGTAAGTATAACACTGACCTCAGTTATACATTTTTAATGAAACTTTTATTTTTTTGCATGGTTACAGTAGATCATTTTGAGATGAAATAAACAAATAAAACAAACAATTGGTGTTTGTTTTATATTTAGCCATTCTTGGACCTCCACTGGTTTCTGTGAGAATGAAGAACAACAGTGCAATTATCACACTTAAGGGGCCGATGAGGTATTCACCAAACAACGACACCCCACCGCTGAGCATGAAATCATTCTACCATCGCATGTCTTACAACCTCTCCATCTACATCCGCCATCGCAACCAGATGGTAAGTAAAAAATGTTTTGTGGAACAAACTATTGGTCACAAAGTTTGCTTCTCTGTTTAAGAGCAGATTTTATAGTTTTATAGTGTTATAGTAAGTTCTGAAGCAGCAGAAAGGCTCTATTAAATCAATATGTTTAGCTATCAGAGTGATGTTCTTTTACTGAAATGCTGCTTTACTTTTACTTAGGAAGAAACAAGATGCACATTCTATAGAAAGCTTCTCATTTATCTCCTTAGTCTGCAGAAGTTTTTCAGAAAAATCTTTGGGATCTTCTGAGATGAACGTTTGCTTCCTTCTTTTTCAAAGATTTGAACATTACCCAGTTTCCTTTCTTAGGACCAGAACACACCAAATCTGATTTTACCTCCGGTCTGACAGAAAATCATGTCGGACGGTCGTGGCGTTTAGCGCTCAGTGAGAGTCAATAGGGATGATCCCACCTGGAACAATTTTCTGCAAGAGTGCTTTCATAAATCTACTAAAACAGAAATTCAGGACTGTGGGAGGAAGACGGAGTACCCTGAGAAAACATGCAAACTCCATGCAGAAAGACCCTGGGCTGGGAATTGAACCCAGAACCTTCTTTCTGCAAGGCAGCAGTGGTACCCACTGTGCCACTGAGCAGCCTCAAAAGTGATCCATGATATATTAATAAAAATAATACTTTATCCATGAGAGTAATTCAGGAGGACAGAAAACGGATTAAGTATTGACCCTCTTTGAGCCTAGCAAAAAAGAAGGGACAGGAAGAGTAGTTTATCACTCTACTCTAAAAGAAAAAAGAACCTAAGGAGGACAGAAAACGGCTGCAGGTAAACATTGATCCTCTTCAAGCCACACAAAAAACAAAATAATGAGGGGCTGACAGAGCAGGTTAGGGAAGCTCATCATTCTCCGCTCTTCATAAAATGAAAAAAACAAACAGACAAACCTTCACAGATCTCTGTCTGAGAATCACCTCATTGCAAGCAAGCGGTTAAGCAGATAAGCTCTGAGCTGATTTTCAAGTCAAAAGGATGAGAGAGAGAACATGCAGTTATTTACAGTAAAAGCTGAGATCATTGTTATGTCTTGGAGAGAAACACAAAAACAAGTCCAACTATATCATCTATAGTGGAAGCTCTTGACAATTCAATTCAGTTTATTTATATATGGCGCCTATCTCAAAGCACTTTACAGTTCTCCAGATCATAATATCAAATTGATTAAACGTTTTCCATCTAAGGTTGACAGATTGACAGAAGCAATATTTTCCCCTGATCTGGAAGGATCCTTCTGGATCTGTTCTAATGAAAGTCTGGGATATTACATGTAATTCTGAGATCTTGTTGCCTACTTCACATCATCAGGCAGGTTCCTGTAGGTATTTTCATGAATCTTACCATTTGATGATAACAAGACATTTATGTGGCTATTAAGGCTGGAGCAAAATGTGTCTTATCGCAGGCATGTATGATTTAACAAGGAACGTTTATGTTTCACCATTGGGCAAGATTGGTTTGGATTGCTGTTTTCTCCTTAATAAATCAATGCAGCATGTGAATTTCAGGTTATCTATTTCCAATTATAAAATGAGTCTCATAATCGGCAAAGTTTGAAAATAAGCCAGTGTATATTTCTCATTGAATACTGGATAGTAAAATATGCATTGTCAAACTTCATATATTGAGTCATTAAACTGCATTAAAATGTGCCTGATTTCATGAGCATGTTGTGCATTAATCAGCTGTTTATTCCACTCTGGAACACAATCTTTCCTCAGCTCAGGAGCAGCAGGACGCTGCCTCTCAGCCTCTATGAAAATTCCCTGTTATAGTTTGAGCTTCAGTCTATTTAGATAAGCAGCAAGAAAGTACAGCCCAGATTGGATAACACACCAAAATCCATCACTTCCAGTAAGGGCAATCTTCTTACGCAGGGGCGGATTGTGAAGCTGGCTCCTCAATGCTAACTGGCCAACATACTGTACTTAAGGATTTTTGACTGACAATGGCCAGACAGCGAGGAGGTTTTCTTCATGAGTCGAGCGGGAAACGTGATAATTCAGTCAGAACAGTTGTCTTGGGGATGAACTCTTGCCGTGGTTTATGGAGTCTATTTCTTAATTGCACTTCACAACACCTATTTTCACCCTTTGTTTTATTGTGTTTTATGTGTTTCAACATTTGTTACTGCAATACATGATGTTTGGATTTGAGCAGCATCTGAATACCTATTTATTACTTAGAGTTACAAAAAATGAGGAAGAACCTGTGATTAATATACCATGTATCACCAAAGTACCTATGTACTTTTTTTATTTTGCAGTACCATTTTCCACTGGACACCAGCCAATACAAATACCAGCTGCTGGAGTACAATACAGAATACTGCTTCTTTGCCAAGTCAAGGTTCCTCTCCATACCAATGCAATGCAAGTCTTCGGCTTGGCATTGTATAATAACACCTCAAGGTACAACAATGTCACAATAATGTTTGAAAAGACCTATAGAAATAATGCTGCTCAACAATATGTAGAACTCGAAGAGTGATTTATGTTTGTAGAGTTACGTCTTTCATGCTAGAACATCTTGCTAAACCTATTTAAACTAAAATGCATTTAAAGTATGTCAACAATACATTCACTTGTCTATAACATGATACAAACCTTGATAATTGGAATTTGATGGTTGATGGATAAATACTCTCACACAGCAGCAAATAAATTTCATATAAATTGCAGACATACCTAAGTTTAGACCAGCTGCCAATTACCATGGCAAAATGCCATCCTGAAACTGGCTACCAGGAAGTAAAAAACAAACAAATACCTACCAGACAATGCAGATTCTGAAGAACAAGCTGAAACGAAAGAAAATTTCCAAGTCATTGTGTTTCTGGTATCATAGCCTCACCTTATAGAAGAAAAAACTTTAAATAAATAGCATGCAACTGTTCTCCTCAAACTGATCCAAGTCCAGCACTTTCAGGGTGTACTCTAATCAAAATGGTGGAAGTAAATGACTAGTTAATTTCAGATACCCCCAGGCAAAAGATAATAGGGAAGATGGTTGCTAAAGAAGAACATCTGAATGACTTGGACAATAGAAATCTATTTGGAAAAGGGAGGAACTATGGGAAACAGTAATAGAAATATGATTTCTTGCATCCCTTGTACAACTAGCAAATACATACATTGTGGTAAATATTGAGAAATTTGCAGCTTTGACTGAAGAAGGCTCGGCTTGGGGAGAATAGAGAAGCACTTGCCATAGTACACTGACAGTAGAGAGGAAAAACTTCCTGTTAACAAGAAGAAAGCACAAGCAGAACCAGGTTCAGAGTGAGCAGCCTTCTGCCAAAGCTGGCTGGGGTTCAATGAGACAGAAGCAGCGGTACAAAAGGATCATAGAAGCACAAACCATAAATACTTTCTATGTTAGAAATGGAAGGGTAAGTAAGCTGCATAGGTGGCTCTGTCTAGGATAGAAACAGTTAAGCAGACTAGTTCTGAGCCAGTTTTCACACCAAGGGATACAAGAGAGCACATATACTTACTCACAGTAAAATCTGAGGCTATGGCTATGTCTATGAGAGACACAGGACTAAACACTAAAGAACAGGCCCAACTCCATTGTCTGATCAAATGTGTTGATGACAGTGGACTAGCTGATATTTCTCACCACGATGTCGTCATAGCCAAACTGGAACAGACCAGATGAAGCTATTTTTACAAAACAAAGCAGAGATAACATAAAGTTAAGGGTTGAACTAACAAATACTGCAGAATGGTAGAATAAAGATATAAAGAAGTGGTCCCTATATCCTCCAGAAGTCTAAGCCTATAGCATCATAAATATAGAGGCAAGGCAAGTTTATTTGTATAGCACAATTAAGTACATGGACAATTCAAAGTGCTATAAATAATTTAGAGAGTAGAATAGAGAACATAAATGAAAACAGAATAAAAGCAAGGAAAACGATACAAAAAAAAAAACATAAGTGAAACAAATAAAATAGTTGGACTACAACTTCAAACTAATAACATATCAGTTAACAGTTTAACATTAACAGTCAAAGGCAGTTCTAAACAAATGGGTTTTTAACTATGACTTAGAAGAACTCAGGCTTTAAGCGCTTTTACAGTCTTAATAGAATAGAATAGAAAATCCCTTTATTATTGTCTCACAATGGTGAAATTCAGCTTATTGCTTCTTGGAGTTTGTTCCAGATAAGTGGAGCATCATGACTAAATGCTGTTTCTCCATGTTTGGTTCGAGTTCTGGTGCAGAGTGGACCCGGGTTGTCTGTGAGGTTAATACACTGACAACACATCTGTTATGTATTGAGGTGCTGATCCATTCAGTGATTTATTGAACAACAGAAGGATAACCTGAGCCACTCTAACTATAATATTTAGCAAAAAGGAAAGTTTTAAGCCTAGTCTTATAAGTAGACAGGGTGTCTGCCTCATAGACTAAAACTGGTAGTTTGTTCCACAAGAGAGGAGCCTGGCATCTAAAAGATCTGCCTCCCATTCTACTTTTAGAAATTTTCTTTTGATATGTGATTTAAGTGAAAGGTCCTGATCAAAAATAAGATGAAAAGATTGATGTCCTGGACAAAGCGGTTGATATGAGCCCACTCCATTATGATGTCAGGCTCTGCCTTTAAGATGGGGATAGGAGATTTGTGTTAATCTACTGTTTAGCTACTGTTGAGCAAGTTCAGACATATTATCAGCATTTCTTTTGTAACCCTCTCAATAGAGGTATTCCTGATAAACTCCAGCAGGAGTATAACCCTAGATTTTACCTATAACATTCCTTGTTTTGTAAAGCCTTGGCATCCCTCAGAATAAATTGATGACTTGGATGGATATCTGTGTTTCCCTCATGGGCCTGTTAACCACATAACCAAATCTTGGAAAAGTGGAAATGAATGGAAGCAAGAGAGTTTGTAGAGTAGTGAGTGGCCTATTTTATATGCCGCTAACTCCGATCCATGTCTCTCCAACAGATCCTGTCATTAAGCAGCTGCAACAGGTGGTTGTGGGGATAGTTGTTCCATCCCTTTGCATCTTTATAATTGGGTTGGTCAGCTACCTTCTCTACAACTATGTGGCTGCGAAGGAACAAAAAATCCCACCTATATTGGTAATTTGATTACACAGACTTGTCAACAAATGCATTTACACAACAAATTTGTTTGTGAAACGTTGTTATGCCATAAGTTACTCTTTTCTTTCCAGAAAACGTTCTTTCACCAAAATCATTCCTGGCTTCCTCCTGATTATGTCAACCTTCAGCTAGCCAGAATAATTCCTGTCAAGCCTCCTCAACCCACTGAGATCCCATTGATTGTTCCACCGCCTGAAGCTGGATACTTATCACAGGGACCTCATGTACCCCAAGAGCCTGAAGAACCCATGAACGATTCGTCAGTTGACTATAGCTTTGTGGCTCCAAAAAAAGCAGGTGTTGGAGATGAGGGCACAGGACCGAGTAAGCAGGATGAAGGGGATGGTGTGAATAATTTGACAGGTGAACTCCAGAAATGTCCTGATAGTGACAAGGAGAACAATATTGACATCAAAGATGATGGGAACAAACCTCAGCCACCAAAACCAGAACCTGCTAAAAGAGAGATTAACGCTGCAATGCAAACTGGTTTACCATCAAAAGCTCAGGATCCAATACAATCTAATCAAAGATCATGCACACTAAACGTCCATCTAGGCCCACCATTAATAAAAGAGGAAGAAAGGAGGGAAGCATCAGAGGAAAGTGAGCAGAACCCAAACCAGTGTGAGAATGACCGTCTCCTTTCTGGTTATGTTTCTCAGAGAATCTCAACCATTCCCCGTTTTGACATTGAACAGTTTGATCGCTTATCAGATGACTATGGTCATCTGATAAGTGGAGGGAGAGAGGACAAGAAAACCGAGAATTGTGAGCTGGATTATGTGACGAGGAGACAGCTGAATTTTGAAAGTTTGATTGTAAGACAAACAAGTCAGGAGGCACAGGTAGAGGAGGAAATAATGGGAGAAGCAGATGATATTCTTAGCAAATGGGACCTGGTCATCTCAGTGGATGAATAGAAAAGATAAATTATCATCACTGTGAAAGAATACATTATAAAAAAGGAATGATCTGATGCGGTAGTATTGGAATTTTGTATAGGGATTGTGGATCTATAAATGTGAAATGGATTTATGAAGGTGCAGATAACAAAGAAGTGAAGGGATCTGAAGCCAAACATGCAAGCCATTTGAGAACAATGAGGCCAGACTTTACTCTAACCTTCGACCCCATTAGGAACATTCTCCGAGCATTTACAAAACAATTGTATTACACCACACGAAGCTCAGGCAGAAATCATTTACTTTGGATCATTTTTTAAAATCTTGAAATTATATAACTATGAGAAAGTTTTTAGAAAGTGTGTAAACAAAGATTTATAATGGCTATACTAAGCATGCATATAAACATAAAATGTGTACGCAGGACACCAAAACAGGCTTTCAGTTGTTCTTCTTTTGTTCTTGTTAGACATTCATTAATAACAAGCAATCAAAAAAAAAAATAAACAACATAATCGGCTAATGAAGAATTATCTTATCAGTTCTGAACTACTTTGACTTTTTGAAGGAAGATTATCAATCCAATAACTTATAATTTACATGTTTAAGTTTGTATTGTTGTTAAAGGTTGATCATGAAACTACTAAAGCAAGGCTGCTTGCTTTATATATACCTGTTTACATTGGATCTCTGTCAAATGTATTGAGCTTTACAGCATAATTGTATTCTGTGGTAGCGGTTGTTTTATCATCAGCTCATTTTGTATGTATCTATACATCTGTTTGTAGTTTAGTACTTTCAGTTGTAAAAATTATTTTTGATCATTTTGATTTAGTTCCGAACATTAAATGTTTTGTTCCAGTCAAATCACTTATAACTATGTAATTCTCATGTATTTATATCAGCATTACGTAATTGCAGATGCCCAGAGGAAAACAGCAGTTATACTGTGAGTGTTTACTGTTTCTAGATACATTTATATAGCATTTTAATCCTAAATTTACCTTTACTCATAAAGTAAAGTACAGCCAAAGCTGTCAGCTCCTTTCCCCCCACTATATAATTTTTGACCTCCTTTTAAGGCAAACAGGTTCCTGTTATCAGTATTAACACTTCTGCCATGTCTTGATTTTCTGGTTTTATGTAAATCTTGTGCTACTGTTTTTGAAATAAGATATGTATCTGAAGGTGTTTGTTTTGTTTTGTTTTTTTTGTCTCACGATTACAAGTTACCTGACCTCTTCACTTGCTGCTGAAACTTCCTCATTCCACTGGCCTAAGCAGGCCGAGCTGAAGTAGTTCAATCAATTACAGTAAAGCAAATGCCTTTTATTTTCCCACTGAGCTGTAACTACAGTGTATCTACAGTGATCGATATGATGCATTTAATTGTGCTAAATAAATGAGGACATGTTTTACATTGTTTTGGGATGTAATTGTATAAAGAAAATGGCAGATTAAAAGATAAACAAAATGTACCACATACTTTCTTTCTGTAAGCTCATGTTAGGTGAGGGCTATCTCCTCCCATACCTCTATACTGGAAAAAATTAGAAGGCTCAAATACAGGCTTGCATGCTACAAGTGACTCTATTACTCAGCTTTTTTTGTTGTTTGTTTTTGTATATAAATTATGTTGTTTTGACAGGATTCCAACAGTGGTTGGACAGCGCCACCTGCTGGACAAAATAAAAAAACATCCATTTTGGGATATGTATATACAGAGGTGTCTGACAAAGTACAAATACTTTGTTACCTTACTTAGGTAGAAATTTTTGCTATTTATATTTAACTGAAATAATATTTTTTTTCTTCTTTCTTTCTTTACTTATTACATTTTTTTGGAATTAACTCTACTTTCTACTCGTTACAATTTAAAAATAGGCTTGTTAGTCTTTTCATTTTCTTTTTCATTCAACCACATTTTTGTTTTGGCCTGTTGGTATTTATAAAAATAAAAACCATCAAAAGAAATAGTTTTATCCAGACAATTTATTTGGGGTTTGACTCGGTGTTGCACTAATTTGTTGTTCACCACATACCAAGTAAATGGTTTTTCAAAACGACGCAAAGTTAAATTTGACATTGTTACTATTAGTTGTAAAGCTAAGAAAATAAAATAGCTTATAAGGAAATCATCCAGTATTGTAGAAAAATGTTCCCTTTAACATTTTTTCCTGCATTAATTTAACATTGGCTTATATACACATATATATTTACACCTTGAGATATGACTTTTTTATTGAAGGCCATTTCACAGCTCTATGTTTATTTTAATTCTTACTTACTAATTTCAAAAATAAGTCATGCAAACCACCTTTCTCTTAACTCAAATACATTTTGAATACAGATAAAATGACTTGTTAAAACAGAATTATCCAGCATTGTTTATTGATTATTCTTATGACTCTTTTCTAAAAAAAAATGTGATTATTGGATCAATATTAGTTTTAGTATTTACCAGAGTTTTTACCCCATGCACAGGGTGAGTTAATTCAGATTCATAATACAATATATCTTATATCCTACCCCGAGCAAAACACATTTGTATCATGTGCAAACATAACAGATTTTGATATATTTGAAACTGTACGAATATTATTTAAAGTAAAGTACAAATAACTTAGGCCTCAGTTATGAACCTTGTGGGACTCCACAGTTTACACTTTTTGATCATTTGTGCATCAAAGTAGTCTTAAGACTGCAAGTATCCCAGTTGTTTGGGCATCTTTTCTGCCTCCTCCTATATAACTTTCTTTGATTTTGGTTCCCAGTTGTAGATATAACTTTTTCTCCCACACCGTTTCATCACTGCTGCACCTTAAGGACAGCTGTACAAAATGACATTTTGTTTTGTATACATTCTCTATATACAAAAAATGACAATAAAAGTTGTCTAAGTGTAAGTCTAAGCCTATAACATTCACCATAAGGTTTTAAAGCACCATTCTTCCATCTGTATTGGTTTGCAGATTGTATCCGTAGAACAGTCAAAAGCAATTAGTGCAGATGTTCCTCTTAGCTGTTGCAGATGTTTATCTACTATCAAAACTCCAAATGGGTCTTGCATTGATATATCCATCAAGAAACAGTGTAAAAGTCAAATAGGTTTCTAAAATCACTAGATTAAATACAGGACTTCCTTTTTATTATAGTTTTTTTTTTTGTCTTGACAGATTGTTACATCTAATGGCAGTGTCAGGAGGGTGCTAAGGGGTTCAGTAGTTGCCCCAGGAATAGTCATAGCACCCCTAAGAAAATGTTAGTTGTATATTTGTTCTAAATGCATAAAAATACACCATAAAGGTAGTATTTCTTCTTTAGATGCACTCACTATGAATTTTTAAGAAAAATTATTTACTTTGTATTTTTCCAGTTATTTAAAGTGTCTAACTATGAACTAGTTTAAATGTATCAACATGTATTTTCTGCTTTTTGTTGTTTTGTTTTGTTTTTTTTGCATAATTTCAAATGAAATGTTCAGCCCTGGAATTTTAAATTATGTTTCTTTATATCTCTAATATAATGATGAACTTTCTCATCATTAATTAACCTTAAATTATCATGTTGGGCAAATATTCATCTGGTGCAACCATTTTAAAGATATACATCTTAAATTGATCAAATTTGTGGTTTTATTTTCAACTGTTTATTTCTATGAATTGCTGCTACTTTAATTAGGTCCTATTTGGTTATGTTTATGTTTGTATATGTTTTAACTGAATAGCAGAACACCAAATTATCATTATGTCTAAGAGTAGTGAACACACTTCTGTCGTGGTTTGCATCTGTGTGCAGTGGTGGTTCTAGACCATATTTACTAGGAGGGGCCAGGGTGGAGAGGGCGCTTTTTCATGGGGGCACAGGATTAAACAAAGAACAGGGCAATAATTTATCATCTAAAATATATTCAGTGAGCTGTAGAAGCAAAGATAAACTTGTGGTTCTGCCCTGAACAAATTCAAATTTCTGCATCCTTTAATTTAATTGAAATTTGATGTTGTTTAATTCAAAATATGTATTTTTGGCTTGAAAATATTAACTTCACTTACCTAAAATAAAAAATAAAAACTCTTACAATGGGAAAAAGATAATAATTAGTGGCTAAATAAATATCTACTAAAATATGAAATAAAGCCATTATTTTTAATATTAGATCAATGTCTACTCGTTATTTATCAATATTACATGCTTTGACTTACTTTACATGCAAATTAACAGTTTTAATCAAATGAAAATCAGAACTGAAGTAAAAGTGTTTTGTTTCAGCTGTAACAATTTTGAGTATTTACTTTTATAATACTTTACAGTTGAAATTAAAACTGTAATTGTATCTTGATAAGACTATGACTATGAGAATTGTTAAGAATATGACTATTATTAGTATTTTTCTTAGATCTTCAGTATAGGCACCAACAGGGGCCAGGACCAGCTATATAGGGGCATAGGCCCCTGCTGTCCCTCTTTAGAGCCACCTATGTCTGTGTGCATTAAAAAATATAGGATGATTCATAGTACCCTCAGTTCAATGCTTAGCCCCTCTTTAGCAGCTAGACAGAAGATTATCTGGACCATAACGAGTTACATTTTAAAACTTTCAGTGCTGTGGAGTTTTGTTGGATTACATCAGACAACGGTCTGCCCTACACCAAGTTACAGCCTGGACCCCCTGCTTTATTAATTTAGGAAGAAAGAAAAAACAGCAGCAAATAGGAAGCTGGTTTGCTGTCAGTTTGACGTTGTGATTTATAATAACAGGGACGTGCTTGAATATATGGAGGAACAACTCTGCCATATATAAAAATAAATACAGAAATAAATAAATACTCAATAAATAAATAAGCAACTAATTGCCCCCCAAAAATCCAATAAACGAATAAATGTAGGTAGAAATTAAATTATACAGTGAGACATAAATGTATATATCTCTTTTAATTAGCTTCTCTATTTGTAAAATTACCTTATCATTTATTGTCTGTTATAATCTTCAACTTTATTTAAGTATTTTTTTTATGTGCATGTGATAATATTTGCCTCTCTCAGACACACCCTTCCTCGTTTACATAATGAGGCAGAAATGCATCTAGAACAAAATATTATATCATGCACATAAATAAATACTTAAAAAAGTCAGTAATAAATAAATAAAGTTGAAGGTTATAACAGACAACAAATAAATAAGGTAATTATTACAAACAGAGAAGCTAATTAAAAGAGATATATACATTTATGTCTCACTGTATAATTTTATTTCTACCTACATTTATTTGTTTATTGTATTTTTTGGGGAAATTAATTGTATGCTTATTTATTTATTGAGCATTTATTTATTTATGTAATTATTTTTAAATATGGCAGAGTTGGTCCTCCATATATTAAATCTTCTACAATAAAAAAAATACATGTATCTTCATGTTCATAACCTTTAGGGGGCGCTATGCTCATCAAACGCCACAGCAGCTCTGCTCCATCCAAGATGGCGTCGTCCGGGGCGGCTGCTCCGCATCATCACTGGGCGGGACCGCTTCACGCTCGCAGCAGCTGAGCACTTCCGCCGGGGGGTCAGGTTTCCCATCTCTCCGTCATTCGGTATTTAAATTGGACTGCAGGATTTCAGCTGCTGCCCCACTCCGCTTTGCGCCGTGAAAGAAAATAACACCAACCGCTAGCTGAAAGAGTTAGCTTTTAAATTTGGGGCTCGAGAGCTACGGAATCCAAGGAGGTTTTTGGGTTGTTTTGTAGAGAGGCTGAACAATAACGGTGGATGCATATTGACAGCTGCTCGGTGCATCATTTCTAGGACTTCTCTGCTAACAACCGGATCATATTGAATAGCGGTAACCTCTACCAGAGCGGAATAATTGCGATTATTTTCAAAGGGAGTTTGTTTACTGCTGCAGATTAGTAAACAAAAACAAAGTCATTGAAAGCAGAGCTGGGTTGCATCAGTGGCCTGGAGCTGGAAGGACCAACAAGTCCGTTTAGGAAAGACATTTAAGATTTAATTGATGCATATTGCCATTTCACTGACTGTTTTTGTAAATATGAGTAAAGAATAAAATAATATCCAAATTATATCATAAAATTTATTCAAAAGATTTTCTGCAAGCTTAACGTAAAAATTGAATTCAGTTGATTCTCCTGTAGCATAGTCTATATTAAGCTTGGATAATTTTTAAAAGATAGTTCTCTAGTTATCTTTTAAGTGTTATTTTTCTTTAAAAAAGTTAGCAGAAAATAATTCACCCTATATTCTATATTATTTTTCTTCATTTATGCAGAAATTTCCCCCTTTATGCCACATCTTCAAGTCATATTAGCCATTCTGATCCTCCTGCTCAAGATATTCTAAGATCTTACTCCCTAAAAGTTGGTGAATTAGTCCACCTGCAGGTAAACAATGTTCAGCTGGCTTGGAACCGATGACCGGAGGAAGAAGGAGCCAGAAGTCTTTCAGACTGTCAGTGATGGACTGAAAAAACTCTACAAAACTAAACTCCTGCCTCTGGAGGAGAGCTACAAGTTCCATGAGTTTCATTCTCCAGCCCTGGAGGATGCTGACTTTGACAACAAACCGATGGTTCTACTGGTGGGGCAATACTCCACTGGAAAAACCAGCTTTATACGGTAAGACTATAGCCCTGGATTCAATTATTGAATGTTTTTCTAGACATCCTGACACTTAAAGTGCTCTATGCTCCACCCACTCTCATTAACTCACACTAAAATTAAAACAATTATTTTTTGTCTAATATTCACTTTTTTTTTTCTGGTATCTGTATCGGCCCATACAAGTATGCCATGGCTGATTCATTATCGAATCAGCCAACATTTTTTTTTGTTTAAATGAAGAATTGTGTTATCACTCTGTCATTCTTGATCATGTAAACCCAAGAAGGAAAAGCAGGTCCAGCTACAAAAATCGGAAAGATGAATATCGGCTGCACATATCGGTGGATCGGTTAGACTGATGTCAAATAATCGATTAAACTGTCAACCTAATGATTTACGCACACAAATGTGACAAAAAGATCAAAATCAGGGAGCGGCCGACACATAAAGCCTTCTGTTTACAAACCAAAACTGGTGAAAAACCAAAAGAAGCATAGAACAATTAAAACGGCACAAATAGCATCATAAAAAAGAGCCTGTGGTAAGCCACAACTCTGAAACCCCTATGTATCCTATAAAAACTTTATTTAACGCCCACATGCACAAATCTGTTGCATCTGGAAGCATCAGTGCATGGCACGGCATTCCTTCATCACATCTCTATGCTTTACAAAGAATATAGGACTTCTAATACATTTACTTCCTTATTCAGTAGAACAGTGATTAAATGTTTCTGTGTAAAGAGCAAATATTAATGTAAAATTACAGTTTATGAGAATTTTAAGATGAGTCCGTGTCTGTATTTTAGTTCCTACTGATGCTAATAGAAAGTTGAGATTGACTTTGTTGCAATATTTACCAAAACTTTCACAATCCCCTTTTTAAAATATCCTACAGCCCTACTTTTTATGCATCAAAAGATATCTTAATCTTGATCTTATTTCTCTGTGGGTTTAAAAAATACATCAAAGTTGCTTGCAATGCTAATTAGAAAATACATTAGAGCGTCTTATTTCTAATGCATGCATACATACTTACTAATGCATACATACTCCGTTTTAAAGCTAATGCTGGACAGCTTGGCTATGAGAGGAAAAAAGTCCTGTATGTGGTGAAGGAAAATTGACCTTTTTTTGTCTTTCTATTTAATAAAATATCTTTGAATGCATCCTAATTATGCACATTTTATCAAAGTTTTATACTTAGGTTTGTTTTGCTGGAAAAACCACTGATCTGAAGACAAGTTTATTTTTGGAAGGGGCAGTCATTTTCTAACATACAGCAAAATGTCAAATCCACTTTTAAAATGATTAACGATTAAGTTCAAGTTTTATTTATGCAAACGTGATGCTGTTAATGGTAAGACAGAACTGCTCATTTTCGTAGCTCGCGCTCGTACTTAAAAAGGCATGCCATTGGTGTCTGATTTGAGCTGGATGCTGGTCACTTCCGAGTATCCACAAAATCAATCTTGAACATGAGACCCATATTTAAAGAGAAAATTAAAAAAATATAAATAAAGCCATTCATTAAAAATATAATTTTAGGATGTGGGTTTGTTCTTTTCTAAATGTAACAATTGGATCCTAGTTTTTGCATCGGCTGCGTTTCCTGTCCTCTATCAAAGCATATGACCTGTACTATCCCTGGGATTAATGTGTAATGCTGAGCGACTTCAGCAGGGCGGTGTTAAGGCCTCTGTTAAGCCGAGGAGCCTCTGTACAGCCACTTAGTGGAGACAGACACACACATCCACAGAACAGTGGGTAATTAGTGAGTTAGGGATTCGAAAGCCATGATGCTGTTAGTGACTTCCTGCTACAAGACATGGAGACGTCCCTGCCCTCTCATCTTCCTCATAAAGGTCTAATTCTTTCCCTCCATCTCTTTCGCTCTCTGATGGCAACCCCCCTCCTCTGGTCAGCTGCCTGACCTCACACCACCAGCATTTTAACACCATAATGCAGAATGTACAAACTGCTTAGTAATGCAGTCTAAGCTCGTCTTTCCCTTCATGGATCAGGTTTCATTTATACTTTGCAAAACAAATTGTCTTTTCCTCAAGGTCTCACAGCCTTGCAGTCGGGCAGTGATGCACCTTCAGGTCTGCAGCTCATAGATAAGCCCAGTGAATTCCAGCTTTAGGATGAAATTATTTATGTAACTTGCAGGATTTCAAAAAGCAAGTCATCATCTGAGTGACTGAAACTACTTCCCTGTGCCTTTTTACCTTTGCATCTGATTATTGGGAGGATTTATTGCTGGATTTGATTAAGCTTTCTGCTGCGATACTTAAAATAAATGTTCAGTGCAAGTGCAGAATTTATGTTGAGTTAATGTGGGATGACATGTTTGTTATTGCTGGTTAAACATCATGCATCATCCTATAGCTTCAACACAGATTCATGTGTGTGTTGCACAACCCTCTAACAGATGCATGGAGAGGGCTCTACCAGGCACCACTGGCTCCTCTGGAAAGGTGTGTTTAAGGAGATTATCTAAAAGTTCACATATGGCAGTTTTCTCTTAAAACATGTATTTCTCCCATTGTAAAATGCACAAAATCTTCCCGAAAGGTCTGTTAATGTTATTAAAATTGCCACAAATGACCTCCGGGTGTTTAAAGTAGATATAAAACAAACTATTTACTGTAAGATTTTAAACTTGATGAAAATAATGGGAAATAAAATGCATAATTTGGTTTCTGAAAACTGGTTTTCACACATGTATCTCCCATTTCAGTTGGATAGAGGTGCATGATGCCATAGCAATCATTTACTAATATCACACAAATGGATGCCATGCTGTGGTCAATGACTTATGAATGCTAGATGTTTGAGAGTAGGGTTGGTCAATAAAACCATCATTACTAATATGTGACGTGATAGAAACACATCAGCATCAGTTAAAAGTAAATCCAATAAAGAATTCTAGTTATTAACTGAACCGGGATCCAGAACCACATAGCATTCTGGGAAATGTAGGCAGAGGAAAGGTTTTTTGTGCTTGCAGAACAAAATGATGTCATTTTATTCTTGTGGTCCAAATAATTATCGGATGACTCAGTTGTGCTCACTAAACATTTAATTGAAATTCCAGTCAATTGATCTACTAGTTTAGAAAAATAAAGAGAAAATATATTGATAGCAATAATAATGAGCTATGCTGTTCTGATGCAGCAGAACATTGTGAATGTCATGCCTTTTATCTGAGACACTATTCAGGGGAGGATTCTGATAAAAGTGTTACACATATTTATAGGATGTGAAAGGTTTTGATGTCCTTTAATCCCCTCTCTCTGGTTTGGTAACACTTGGCATATATTGTTTATTATATCAGCCTACATAGTAAGAAAGGAGGCAGTGTGACGGCAGCTTTACGGTCTGCAAACTTGTCAAAGTAAAGATCTGAAATGTACTTTTAGGTGAAAAGTAAAAAAAAAAACTGCCAGCCTTTTCCCACACAAGTCCTCTTTGTTTCTGGTCTCATTTTGATTTTTTGGTTGCTTGTGCCCACATGATGGAAAACCTTTAAATACGCTTGATTTATTTTCAAATATTGTTTGGTGTTTGAAGAATTCCCTTATCTTGTTTAGTTTAACGCCACGACCTTCTAATTTCACCTGCAGCTACCTGCTGGAGCAGGATTTTCCTGGAATGCGTATTGGCCCGGAGCCTACCACGGATTCTTTCATCGCGGTGATGCACGGAGACACCGAGGGGGTCATCCCCGGGAACGCTTTGGTGGTCGACCCCAAGAAGCCCTTCAGAAAGCTCAATGCATTTGGAAACGCTTTCCTGAACAGGCACGTATTCAGGGTAGCAGAACACACGTCCACCTGCAGTAAGGTTGCTGAATAACTTCTGCTGATGTGGTCTGGCATCTTACAAAGAGTATTTAGTGGAAACAAAATGTTATATAGAGGGTTATAATGCGAACGTGGAGGGAAAAGGAGTGCAGTGGCAAAGAGAACAAGTGAGAATCCACACCAGTACTCCACATTCCTGTGTGATTGAATTTCCCTTCTCTCTTATGGCCTTTCTCTTTCAATGGGGGGCAGAATGTGCTGATGAGTGATCTGCAGAGTCATCCTACTGAAAAACAATTTCAAGTTATTTGCAGATATGTCATTTTTAAATATTCTAGTGATGAAAAAGACAATAAGTTAGGAGATGGCTGCTAAGGTGTTGATATTTATTCAGCTGAGCAAACACACAGACGAGCTGAGAAAGGGTTGGAGGGCTAGAGGTTTCCCAGTTTGAGGCAGTGTTTGTTATAAGAACACTTTACACTTCTGTCCTGATTTGCTCTAATGTCCCCGTCGTCTTTCTCTGTGTGTAAAGGTTTGTGTGCGCCCAACTACCTAACCCTGTGCTGGAAAGCATTAGTGTGATCGACACGCCAGGAATTCTGTCCGGAGAAAAACAGAGAATAAGTCGGGGTAAGACACACTTTATCGTCACTTTAACTCTTTTATATATCCCCTTGTTTATGTTGCTGTGTGTGTGTGTGTTTGTTAGCTGATTGAACCCACTCAGCTGCAGGCTCACAGTCCCACTGATCTCTGAAACCCAGCGTCAGCATTTCCTTTGGACACTTGTGTCTGTGTGTTTATTTTAGCCGTTGCTTTCAGCAGGTTTATGGCTGATTCCTTTCAAAGAGCAGGAAGCAGAGAGAAAAAGATGAGCTTTGAATTCACTCCTGGCACACAAATGATTTTATTTTATTTTTACTCTGCAGGCCTGTAACAAATTCTCTACAGGAGAACTATGATTTAATGCCTTTTTTTCCCCCACTTTTCAAATATTTTCTAAACAGCAAACAGAGCTGCGGATGAAAGTATCAAATGTGCCGAGTTTGTCTGAGGTTAAATGCTTGAGAATAGAAAACCACAGCTGCAGAGTCCGGGACTCTTTAACGACCATTCTGTTGTGTCACCCATCACGGATGACTCTGTCGCCACATGGGTCCCAGCTCCGCCTTTTACAGTTGACTGTCCAGCACAGGCTTAAAAAAAATCCTAAAACTACCAAGAGAAAACAAACTTGCATGTGTTTCTGATTCAGTTCTGAAATAATTTTTATCAGAAACCTGATAACCCCAATACTGCTTAGGGAGGAGGGAAACCGAATGTTTTCTTTCATATTCCTGTTATAAATGTATTCAAAAGCTTCAAAATAAAAATGTATGAGAAATTTGTAACACACAAATGGCTGCTATGCTCCACCATACTAAGAACCCGAGGAAAAGAAAGGCACAGGTTTTTGTCGTCCCTTTCTGTATTACCATATTTTCTGGAATAAAAGCTGCTACTTTTTTCCCCACGCTATGAACCATTCGGCTTATAAGAAGGTGCAGCTTTTCTGTGGATTTTAACCTAACCGCCAGAGGGGGAAGTAAATATTGGAAATGAAAGAATGAGGGACTAATTTTCATTTAGCACAAGAACATGCTAACAGCAACAAATTTCCTGAATTCTGAATTTATTTGCCGCATTAAAGCTCTGGAAACAATGAAGAGACTGGGCTCAACTCCTGAAGAGCTGAAATAAAGAGCTGACAAAGCCCCATCTTTTAGTAGAAGCTCTTACTGCTGGGTTTCACTACCTGATCCGTCCCGGAAGCACAGTCCGTACCATCAGCTCATTTGCAACCAGATACACAATCGGGTCAACCTCAATTTTATTTTGTAAAAAAAACCTAAATCCATTTTTTTCCTCCTCAAAAATTGCAAGCGTATTTAACTATGTGTTAAAGGTTAGTGATGTATTTCCTGAGCAATTAAATGCCTTAAAATCCTTTCTGTTTTATCACTCGTCTCGATCTGTCCTGATCTGTACCTGAAATGGGATCCTGCGCTACTTCCAGGAGCTAACTTTTGCGGCTTTGGATTTAAATCTGGTCTTTTTGAGTTATAGTTTTTCCTTTTGTGTTAACCTTATGGTATATAGTGCATAACCTAAAGAAAGAAACAACTAGAACGCAGATAAACATTGTTTAGTCTTATTTTGCAAGACTTCTATAAGCATGTCCAATGATGACGTCAGAGAATAGTTAAACAGAGAAAATAAATTTTTTTTTAAAGATTTTTATTAGCATTCCTTAGTGAGTTAAGGATAGAAACAAGTAACTTTAGTAACGTAATTACATCATTTATTGAAACCCGGATGTATATCTGGTTGCGTATGCGCATGTGAGCTAATAGTGCGGCTTGTGCTTCCGGGAATCGGGTAGTGACAGTGTGAGCCAACAAGCTAACAGGAGCTAGCATTCTTCTTCTTCATCCCAACTCTAGGGGCTATATGTAGAGCTCCCCCTACAGGTTTGGTGGGAGACAGTTCAGTAGATATCAGCGGCTTGTAGCGCAGTGCGGCTATGTACCTTTCGAGTTTTATAGTGAGGTGTGCTTTATAGTCGAGAAAATACAGTACTGTTTAATACAAGATTAATTTTTTTTTAGTTCTCTTAAATTCAAAACTAAATGAAAGTTTTAGATTAAAGTCTTGATTGTAATTCAAGGGAGGTGTTAATCAAGTGGGAATGCTTATGCATTCCCACCTATTGTTTTTCTGTTTATATTTATTATTATTCCGTAGGTTTTTCTTCGTTTAACTAGTTCAACAGTTTTCAGCTGATTTAAACAAATTTGGTATCAAAACGTTCAGCTTGTTCAGGAGAGTTATGCTATGACTTTTGGTAAAGATATTGTTCGTAGTTTTTGCGATATTCAGCTTTTTCTGCGATTTTTGGCCCCATTGAAATGCATGTAAAACTTCAAAAATTCCACTAAATCTTCAGCTACTTTGCCCTTTAACTACTTCAGCATACTTTCAGCTAGAAACACCATTCAAGTTTTAAAATGCTTCCGTATCTTTCTGCTATTACTGTTTAACTCGGCTTTCAGCTAACTTTTACAGTTTTGCTTCAGTGAAGCTTCAAACTTTTAAACAATTTTTACAGATTTTCAAATTTATAATGGAAGTCTATGGACGGAATGTTCAGCTGCTAGAGTGTGCCACTCTAGCGTTTTCAAACATTTCACTCATGCCGAACAGCTTCAACTCACTCGCTCATATTTTACTCTATCTAGATAAATTTTACATCAAAACGTAGGGATTTTTGTCAGGATTCAGGAAATGTAACCCTCATTTGTGTGGCATTTACGGTTTTCCGACAGTTTGGCCCAGACCACGAAGAAGTCCACACTTCCCCAATAGAAAGCCAATGAGAGCTCTCTGAAAATCCGAACTGAAAATTAAAAAAAACAGACTTTTTCGTATCGCTCCCATTCGGGAACCATTCGACGTAGCAACATGAGCCTTGTGGAAGTTGTTCCTCAGACCTTCCTAGCACTCACATTGAAGGAAGTGTGTCGATATCTTTTATCGTTTAGCTAGGAACAAGGTTTGTTCGGGGGTAACAAATCTGTCCGAACCCCAAAATCAAGATTTTGACAATTATACACTTTTTTACATCGTCACCACGCCTAGACGAAATATTGTAGAAATATGAAAGTTACACCAGTTGTAGTCCAAAGATGGCTGACGCTCACGGTGAAAGAATTTTTTGAATACCTAATACGGTTTTGGCTCACCGCTCGTTTGTTCGGAGGGAAAGTTTTGCTTTTGAGAGTTCTGCTCTACCATTGTGCTGCATGTTATTCAATGAGACCAGCAGGATTTCTCAAACCTTTTTATTCCTCCTTCCCATTAAGGTTGTGAATGAGCTACATCCATGAAAGTTACCCCAATCGGAGACAAAGGATAGCTCTCGCTTAGACTGAAAGAATTTTTTAGATACCATTTACGGTTTGTCTTCAGTACTCGTTTGTTCGGAGCTGCTATTCCCATTCAAAAAAGCCTGAGAGGAAAGGAACGAAAGTGAAGCGCGTTTCTCTCTCTCACTGACAGGCTCGTTAACGTCGTCAAGGTAACCGAGCTTCAAAGAGATTTTACCTCCACCACTTTAAACAGCACATTTTAATCTAATGCAGGGAGACAACACTGATTTAATATTAGGAAGTGGATACAATATGACTACTGGCCATGACCCTTCCCTTCACACGCAACCCTGATAGACTTTCAAAATAAGACTCCGGGGACCCTTCAAAATAAAAGCCCCTAAATTAAACTCTTATTTTTTTCCCAGCATATGGCTCAACATTATGACCCAAACTCAACCACTTTTTTTTAAAAATGAGACTCTAGGGGGTTTTCAAAACACACCCCATGGAAAATTTCAAAATAAAAGCCTCCCATTGCCACTTTATCTACTGCCCTAATAACAGGGGAAAAGAGTAATTTAACGATTGGAAAGTCATCAAGTATCACTGCTGGGTCTGACCCTTTTCTCAACACACAACCCTGCTAGACTTTCAAAATAAGACTCCAGTGACCCTACACAATAAAAGCCTCTATATTATACTCCCCTATTAATTGATGCAAATGGCTCAGCATTATGACCCAAACTCTACCAGCTTGTTTCTATTAGACTCTAGGGACCTTTTCAAAACATACCCCAGAGCAAATTTCACAATAAAAGTCTCCCATTTACGCTCTAATACAGCATCTATTCACCCAATAACATGGAAAACCAGTGATTTCATATTTGGAAATGGATTCTATATCACTGCTGGGCATGACCCTTCCCTTGACACATATCCATGATAGACTTTCAAAATAAGACTAAAGGCAACCTACAAAATAAAAGCCTCTTCCTTACATACACTCATTCATTGTGCCGTATGGCTTGTAGCTATGACCCAAAGTCAACCAATTTCTTCAAATTACACTACCAAGGCCTGTTGACCACACACCTCAGTGCATATTTCTTAATCAGGTTCTAAGATTTACACTGTAATAAAGCATCTGCTAACCTTGTAACATGCAGCCTAAGCCTGCCAACGGAGCTTTCATTACCACAGCGGCTCGTAACATGCAGGTTCAATTTTTTGATAAATTCAGATCCTTAAGTGGTATTAGCTGTCTTTCTATAAGCTTGTCTCTCTGTCCTTCCTCTGCTTCTCATGGTCAGTCTTGCACATAGGTTTGTAGATTTTCAATCCTCTAAGGATGACACTGTTTTCTTTATGCTGATCAACCGACACATTTTAAATAATTTTCCAATTGTTTTGCCAAGTCTTGACATTTCCACATATGATTTCAAAATGTTAATACTTATTCAATACCATCGTCCTCAACATTTTACTTCCCATCCTTAAACTACTAATTTTTTCTTCAACCAGATAAGATTAAAGTTTTTCTTTGTAATTTCTTTTCTACTTCAGCTAATTTCATACTTTTCAGCCTATGTTGTGAACTTTGGCTTCATTCTGCTCTGTTTCTGGACAGGAATTAAGCTTTTCTGTTTGCTGCTAATTCATAACACGCCTGACATGTTTCTGGAAAGTAGGTAAACCCCCCTTCAAAACTTCTTTATACATTTTTTCTAGAAACTTGGGAGACATTATATTAAGACCCTTCTAGTGCCCACATTCAAGACATTTTTTGATATCATGTATGGTTTGGCTGTGCAGCTTTTAAGATGAGTTTCTTTCTGCCATTTTACTGCCAAATGATTCTACTCTACAAAATCTTCAGATGATTCAATTGTTTTCTGCAGTTTTAAGTTTCTGATGACTTCCTATCACATTTTCATATGTTCTTCAGGTAATTTCAGCTTTTTTCATTCAGCAAAAGCATTCCCACTTTGATGTTTCTCCGAAACAGCTTTTTCTAGTTAGATTTATTTATCATTGTCAAGTGTAAAACAAAAAGAAATTTCGTTTTGAACAGCTCTCTGGACAATTTCATTTTTTTTAAATGCAGCCTTAAAAAATTGAAAAAAAAATCTTAATTAAATATTAAATTTTATAATATAATATTATAATTAAAAATTAAATATTAATTAAAATCTTAGTTAAGATTTTATCTACTGAGGTTGTTTTAGGTTATTCTAGATAAATGTGTCCCTATCTTTAGTAGAAAGGTGTCATACTGCTGTGAACTTGTTGGAAAAGTAAGTATACCCTTGTGACAGTATGAAGGTAAAAAGGCTGATCAAGGGCTGCATCAGTTCCCATATCAGATGATCATGAATAATTTTCAAACTGCTTCGAGACTCAGGGAAACAGAAATTTACCACCTTTGATGGTGAAGCAGGAATACGGCAAAATCCTAGAAGTTCAGCATTTTCATATTATAACCTATTTAAAAAAGGTTTGTTAATAAAGACCTTTTTATAATATATATTTTTTACATTCTGATGAGAGGGAAACTGTTAAGTGAAGTAAGGGTAGTAGGATTTGGACCAAACTGTTTGGGTTCAAGCAGAAATGTGTTTTTTGTGTGTTTGTCATGGCTGGCATTCCCTGAGCTCCACAATGGTATTACCATACCAACCAGAATCAGTTAAAAAAGAGCTGCGACACTAAGACCAGAACAATAAAACACTCTGATGGCCTTTGCTTCTTCAAGCGATGCTCTGAGAGGAGTTTTTGCTTTGCTTACCACCTTCACCACTTGGTCTTTTTTTTTTTTTTTTTACATCATAATGACGTACTCTTACATGATTAATTCCCAACCAGTGAGTTTTGATTTCAGCAGATGACTTTATATTAGCTGCTTGGTTCTGGGGTTGAAAATCGTTTTCCATCTGTTTTATTATCTCCAGCTCTTCTGTTGAGAAACAACATGAAGTGATAAATACCAACAGAATGTTATTTAGGTGTGGTTGTAGTTGATTTAACACATCCTTGTGTCAGCTTATTTTTATGTCTTTTTCTTCTTTGTTTTGTTTTGTTTTTTTCCAGTAAGAACAACTGAATTAACACAGCTGTTTCAATGTGTTTGTCCTGATGTCTGTTTTATTCTCCCTCCACACCAAGCCAGTTTGGTTATTACTCCTCATGTATTGTCTTTGCTTCATAAATATTTATATTGTTTTCCACCTTTCACCCTGCTTTAATGTTTTCAGAGTATGCATTTATTTATTCATTTATTTATTTGTGTTTGTCTAGATGAGTTGTCAGGCTATAGCTCTCTGCGTAGATGTCCTTATGGAGGTATAGTAGTTTATAAACTAAACCTGGGAGATGGCGGCTGCAAAAATCAGTAGATTTTTGAAACGTGTACCAGGAGTTCTTCACATGTCTTTTCACGCGATTTTGAGGGGGAAAAAATGTTTTAAGTCGTCTTTGTGAAAGATCTTTTTTTCTGTTAAGGAAAACAAACATATTTTTGATATTTATTCTCCTTTCAAATGTATTTTTTTTAACTATCCTTATTTGTACCAGATGCACTATATTGGCAAAACTATTAAGTCACCTTTAAAGACTTTTAAAATCAAATTGGACAATATTCTATTTTTACTTAATAGGTTTTATTGTGGTTTTAATTTGCTCCATGAGTCTGGTGTTGGAAGAGAAGGCCCTGCGTCAAACCTCTGCTCCAATTTATCCCAAAGGTTCCTTCCTCATCAAACTTGCTGATTGGCATTCCTTTCTGCTCGCTTGTGCATTTATGTTGAAACAAGAAAAGTCTATCTGTCTCAGTTGCATGAAATCATTTAAAGTGCCTTTTTAATGCCCACCTACTGTGTGTTTAGAGGTTTGTAGCTGATGACTGCAAAAAGTTTGTAACTTCATCATCTTCAGACCCAAAAATACAGTTTACTGTATCATGGCAGTATTGCTGTTGAATCCGTGTATCATTCGTTCTTTCTATTTTCAATTGCCAATCAAAAAACAAAAAATAAAAAATTGACTGGTTATTTTGTTATTTGTTTTTTATGGTTAAACCAAAAACGAAAAAAGGATTTGTTTTTCATATATCAATTCTAAGCTCAGATCAAGAATACGAAATGGAAAAACGGACAGCAACGCAGAATTTGTTTTTAATATTTAATCGGTACAGTTTACGTGACCCGGAAATAGCTCTTTGCGCAGCAGTTGGGGTAATGAAGTGGCTACCATGGCGACGCTAGAACCACACACTATGTTGATCGAGAAGCTGTTTGTTGTTGCTAGTTAAAAGTACAGTGCACAGAAAAGTTTCAAGAAAAAAGTTATACCTGGAAAATCCTGCAAATTTTCTCCGTTGTCATGTCCTCCTCAAGAGTCACACGCTTGGATCCTCGAAATAAAACGTAACTGTCCATGGCTGATAGGTCCGACTGCCTTATCTGGTGCAGTTTGATCGAACGTGGTGGGAGTAAGCCAATTGTTTTTTTAGCTAACGCTCCACCAAACTTCCGGGTCATGTAAACTGTACCGATTAAATATTAAAATCAAATTCTGCGTTGCTGTCCGTTTTTCCATTTCGTATTCTTGATCTGAGCTTAGAATTGAAATATGAAAAACCAATCCTTTTTTTCGTTTTTGGTTTAACGATAAAAAACAAAAAACAAAATAACCAGTCAATTTTTGATTTTTTGTTTTTTGATTGACAATTGAAAATAGAAAGAACGAATGATACACGGATTCTGTTGTTCCCAATTGCTTGCACTTTGTTTTAACTCCACAAACGGTAAGAAAACATTTTAAACAGGTCACATTGCACATTCTTTTCAAAATGTTTGCATGCACAGGTGCTTTATTTTAAATTCACACAGACCTGCAGCTGATTGGAACACTGGATTCATTCATTCTGATGGGTGGGCCAATACTTTTGGCGATGTGGTTTGTTGATAAAAAAAACAAAAAAAAAAACATTTTTAAGCTCTTTTTTAACATTAAATGTTCTAATTAACAGTTTAAACGTATCATTTGCAGATAAAATTTCAATTTTGTAGAAATGAGAAAAAACACTCAAGATGTCAGCTGGTGTTCATTTGCCAGAGTTTTCCCTAAAAGTGAAAAATATGCCACTTCTGGTTTATTGCTTTTGCAAAAACAGACTTTGAAAACTTTTTTCCCCCAACGTGTGAGAAGTTTCCAGGGTGAAGAACAATATATCCATGCATTGCTTAACTCTTTTTCTTGCTACGCAGCAGCTTCTTCTTTACTTCGGTTCCTGGAGACACCGTCACCTTAGTCAACAAACTGCTTGCTCTTAAAGAGGAATTATCAGAATTCAACATTAATCTGTGGAAATCAGCTTAGTTGTTATTCTTTGTGTAGTCCTGAAGCTAGTTAATCATTTAAAATCTTTGAAGGTCAAACTGTCCTTTTCAACAAGCATTAGAGAAATAAAAAGATATCAAGGAAGCCATGTGTAAAAATAAATGGAAAAAAAATATTCTGTTTAGATGCACATAAAGCATTTAGACATGCATGCTGTCATATTTTATTCCTGTAGCTTTTAAGTCTTCTAGCGTCTCTCAAACAGGCTCCTGGTTGTTGTGGCTAATTATTATTTGTAGTGTAACTCATTAACCTTTAATGTACTAAATGTCCTTATGTGTTGAGTGGGATTTTAACCTCACTAATCCCTCATTGTGATGTTATGTGTAATTTGTTTTACTCTGGTAGGGTTCAATTCCTCCAGGTAAGCCTCAGGTTTGTTTGAAGTCAGCGTTTCTCACTCTGATGACTTTACAATAGAGAAGTAGGGGTGAATTTAACAAAGGCAGCATTTATTTTCTACTTATCTGCCTTTTTTAAAACTCTAAACTGGTCGTTTCTTTTTAAAGATTGGTGTTTAACCTTTCAGCATGACCTAGAAGAGCAAACACCTGCTCTTTTCTGTCAGTGGGTTTCAATATAGGTTAATATCTTAAGTTTGCTGGAATCTGCAGTCGCTTCATCACCATCTACTATATTTGCTTTGCTTCTATGAAGGACACAGACGATGTTATTAATACAGCAACAGTTTGAATTGTGTAACTACTGATTAACCCTTTATAAGGCAAGTTACAGCTTTTGATCTCTTGCCTTATAAATGGAGTGGAATTTGGAAATTAACTGGAAATTAAGTCGGGGGAAAAAAAAGTTAAGTCGAGAAAAAAAAGGAAAAAATCTAATTAAAAATTTAAAAAGTAAAGTTTAAAAAGTTTATAAGCCCAGTTAACAATTCTATTTAGGTTTACAAACTAAAAAATGTAGGTGCCAGTATCAGCATTAATGCTTCTAAGGTCATGTAGGACCAAAAAAAAAAATGTTTTTCACTCTGTGTTTTTCATGAATCTCTTATAGAGGCACTTTTGTTATCTTTATTAGGATAATACAGGAGGGTGTTAAATCCTGCTTGGCATTTCTGCCTGTCGCACCTCCTCCGGTGCCCATGGGTCAGCTGCAGGGTCATCAGCCAGGAACCACCATTCACCAACGTTTCGTCCCTTTAATCCTGGAACGTCTCCTGGTGGCGGGGCAGTAACAGGGGCGTCTCCCTGTCACCCCCTGCAGCTGAAAGATGTTATTCCCTGCAACTGTTATCTGGGGGTTAGGTGTTATTCCCCCAGGTTCTGTCCTTCCTCCGCAGCCAGAGCCAAAAGCTCCCTTTCTCCGCCTCCTCAGCCAGTTCCTTTGTTGCCTTCCTCAGCCTTCCTCCCCTGACTCCCACGTCTTTCAGGAGGCGTATGGTCGACAACCCTGTGAAGCCTCAGCATCCGACCTCTACTGGGTAGATGGTAGTCTTCCAGCCCGCCTCCCGGCACTCTGCAGCCAGCTCTGAATACTTGGCCTTTTTTCGCTCAAAGGCAGCTTCGATCCCTTCCTCCATTGGCACAGTGAGCTCAATGAGGGCTACCGCTCTTGCCTTTATGGACCACGCCACAATGTCTGGTCGGAGAGATGTGGTGGTGATTTCTGTGGGAAACTGAAGCTTCCTGTCCAGGTCAACCTTCATGCTCCACTCCTGGCCAGTAGTGAAGGGCCTTGAGGTTTCTCTTTGCTTGAAGCTTCTGATTCCTCCTTCCGCGACAAAGATGGTGGGGTCCTCTGCTGGCGATGGTGTTCTACTACCCTTTCTGCGCTCCTCCAGCACTTCGGCTAGCTTTCTCAAGACCTGGTCGTGGCGCCATCTATAGCGGCCCTGTGAGAGGGCCACTTTGCAGCCTGACAAGATGTGCTGGAGGCTTGCGTTGGGAGCATTGCAGAGTGCACAACATTCCTCATTTCCGAACCACTGATGAAGGTTCCGAGGACAGGGAAGCGTGTCATATGTTGAGCGGATAAGGAAGCTAAGTCTTGCCTGTGGGATCTTCCACAAGTCTGACCAACTGATGTTCATGGTTGAGATTCCCTCCCAGGTTGTCCAGCTTCCTTGTCGTCCCTGAGACACAGCCTTGATCTTATAGCGGTCTTCCTCCATCCTCATCACCTCCGCCACCACCATTTCCTTTCTTTCCTTGTGTTGGGCCTTGGACCAGAAGCGTGGTGCTTCTCCCCATCCTAGGCCTGCTCTTCCTACCTGCACCCTGCCTACAATCTCCTTGTGCTGCAGCCGGCTTACCGCTTGGTCGACCTCGGTCTGGGCGTTCCACTTGCGGCCAGTCAGGACCCTGGCATTAGCATTCCTAACCAGCTCATCTGTGGACTCCCGTAGCTCGAGCACCAACCTGGTCTTTTCTTGCATGTAGCCCAGCTGTAGCGATCTTAGGGGTAGCTGGAGCATGTTCCTCCCAAATAGGCCAGCTTCAGAGAGGCACCGTGGCAGCCCCAACCACTTTCGGATAAATGAATTGGCTTTCCCATCCATCCTACTCACGGTTGATGAGGGGATCTCACTCATTTTCAGGGGCCACAGCAGTCTCTGGTAGAGTGTAAATTGGTAACACCAGACCTTGTATTTGCCCGGTAGTTGGCTTTGGTCAATTCTCGTCAAGCCATCAGAGAGCTGCTTCATAACGGTTTTCCCCATTTGCTTGTCAGAAAGCTCGGCAGTGTACTGCCTCCCAAGGCTTTTGATGGGCTGCTCTGCAAGGAGTGTATATATTTGGGAAAGTTGGCGTTTCTTGTTATTACATTGACATTCATTTTAGGCATCAAAATGTCCGTATTTTTTAATGTTACAAAGGTAATGAGGTCTTGTCCTGGATTCCAATAACACTACTGGCTTAAAATTTTGATTTTCAAAGAATTTCACTGAGGGCTCTATAGAGGGTTAACAGACTGAACTCAGACCCAAGTTTCCTATTTTCCTTTATTTTTAGTGTTTAATTTCTTCTGTTTTTTCCTGTCCTTCAAGGCTATGACTTTGCTGCTGTCCTGGAGTGGTTTGCAGAGCGTGTGGACAGGATCATATTGCTGTTCGATGCCCACAAACTAGACATCTCAGACGAGTTCTCAGAAGTGATAAAGGCCTTGAAGAACCATGAAGACAAGATTAGGTACTAACCCAAGAATTGGTTCCAACGTAAAATGAAATATAGCTAAAAGCTTAATTTCCAGAATTTAATCTGGGAAAAGAAACAAGTCTAATGCTGAACATATTAATGGATTTTCAATTTTTTTTCTTTCCTTTGAAAACTCTTAACCTTGACTTTTAACATTTCAGCCTTTAGGTTTTTGACTCAAAGGTATAGTGGAACATTTTCGCAAATCTTTTAAAAGACCCACCCCACACAAAAAAAAAAAGTGGGAAGCCCGACCTGTGCTTTCAGTGTATGCCATCGAGTGAAAGAATCTCCCAAAAACACTTCTTCTGAGGCCTTTCTTTTCTTCTCATACATTTCGTATGACCCTCGGCCATTTTCTAAGAACCGCGGTGAGAAATGCGAGCTTCAATGACGGTCTGAAACCGTAGCTCACCACATAAAAGTGTGCATGCGCAGAAAAAGATAATTAACTGGGGACAAGTACATAGGTCGGCCTTATGTAAACATATCACCAAAATGATTGACAATTAGGAGAACCATTTATTTAGATGATCCACCCTGAAAAAGAAAATCCTCCACTATACCTTTAATGTCTTTACAGTAATACCTTTTTACCTTGTTTGGCCTCTAGTCAACTTCTCATACATGTTCAACTGAACCTTTGGCTCTTAAACAAGGTCTAAAATGCAAACAATTCCATATTAACAATAAAAAACTGCTCTTTAATGAGGTTGCATTTAGCTTTGGGTACTACTTTCCTCAAATTATCAGGACATGGTTAACAGATTAAATAAAGATGACCCATCAAAATCCAAGAGCTCCCGAGAGAATTAATTAAGCATCACTTTGAATCTACAGGGGAGAAAAACAACTTTATGATAAAATGATCTGGATACAAATAAAAGAAGCATCTAAAGTTTATAGTCTGAGATCTTTGTCACAGAAAATGGGAAATAACCCTCTCAATGTTCCTTATTTGGCTTTAGTTCAAGCATAACTGATGTTCTCACAATATTTTCATGAGTTGTCAGCCTGTTCCAGCTGTGCTTTCTGTCATTTTCTCCAGAGTTGTGTTGAACAAGGCGGACCAGATCGAGACCCAGCAGTTGATGAGGGTGTACGGTGCCTTGATGTGGTCGCTGGGGAAAATAGTCAACACCCCTGAGGTAATGTCGGAACACCTGTCTGAAACTACATTGGGTTTCATCTAATTTGTAGGTTCCTCCTCATAAAACACTTTAGGCTCAGTCACATTATCTAGAAAATGTCTTTAACAGAAATATTGAAGTCTCTCTAAAGCTAGATTTAGGTTTATCATTAACCAATTAACAAATCTTAAATATGCTGAAACAGCAATTCTTATATATTTTTCTCAAACATGGCTCCATCTTATTAGAGGCTGCAAAGTGGAGCAACCAGAGGCTGTTCATTGAAGGTTGATGACTTTCGTTTTGTTAAAGAAGCTCCAGATAAATGGTCTTCTTCCTTGGTCTAGCAATTTGGGGTTTAGGGTCTGCAGCGGTGCTACATGCTTTCAGGTTTTTGGTGGATTGATCGTTTCTCTGTGAGAGGTTTAAAACTTATGGTTCTATAACCAAACCTTGTCTTAACTAGTCTACAGCCTTTTCCCTGAATGTTCCTTCATCTTTATAATGCTGTTTGCTCACTTCAATTAACAATGAGGCCTTTACAGAACAGCTGGATTAAACCAAGATTAGATTAGGTAACCTATGTTAACAGCTGGATAGGAGTCAACATTTTGCAGATATGTTTCTTTTTCCTTTGGAAAAATATTGTTGGTCGTCTTCTTCGTATTTCACTAGTTTGTGCTGGTCTGTCACATAAAGTCCAAGTAAAATAAGGCTGATTATCCAACTCAAGTCATGTTCAGTCATGATTAAATCCAACGCCTATTTCTGATTTGTTCTTCTTCACCACAATGTTTTAAAAAAATAGCTTATAGTGGCTTTAATGAAATTACATTTTATTATATATGAATATATCTTATATAGTGATGGAATAACTGTTGTGGAAAAGACAATGTTTACCATTTCTAAACAATATATTTCAATGTTGGCATAAAGTATACTCAAATAGACGATATGAAATGGTATTTTTCTCATTATTTGAGGTGTTTAGAAATGACGACATATAAACCTTCTTTTGATTTTTCAGACCTTTGAATTGCTTTTTCTCTTGTTTTCCTTCCTTTCATCAAGCTAATTCTGGAATATTGCCCTTAGCTCTCAGGGCTCTCTCTTTTTTTTTTTTTTTTCTTTCTTATTTCTGCCTGGGACACAAATTCTTTGATAGTTGAAGAATCACTCGTATATAAAAATGTGTTACATAATAAGATTTTTTTTGTTTTGTTTTTTTTGTTTTTAATGCTTTTGCTCAACCATCTGCCATTTTTTTTTCTCTCTTTCTAATTTCCAGGTGATCCGTATCTATATTGGCTCTTTTTGGTCTCACCCGCTGCTGATCCCCGACAACCGGAAGCTGTTTGAAGCAGAGGAGCAGGATTTATTTAAGGACATTCAGTCTTTACCCAGAAACGCAGCACTTCGGAAACTCAACGACTTGATCAAGAGGGCCAGACTAGCTAAGGTGAGGCACGCCTGGAAAGGCTCCAGTGGAGATCTGCAACGTTTCCTCCCACAGACTGTGACACTGAGCTGGATTAATGAGAAAAGCGATGACGAGCCTGAATGTCAGCATCATGTACATGTGTTTCCTATTTGTTTTCCCCATCCCTCCCATGGCTGTTAACATTGACAGACAGCACTTATCACTATGACAGAGCCAATAGGGCCAGACGAATTTCAATCTTCGGCTCTGAGTGAATTATCTTCCACTTCCTTTCCGAGCAGGAAGTCAGGTAGGAAGTTGTTTGAGGAAACGTAAAGGGTGTGGAAACAGACTTATCAGGGTTTCCTGCTTGACAGCTGATGGGTGTTTTTGCGTGTCTCAAGGACATGAGGCGGAAAACGCGCATGTATCAGCACAGCAACCAAATATTATGGCTTATTTTGGGATTTTTCTTTTTCTGTTGCTATTTAACTTTTATAAACATTTTTACAGCTAATTTCCCAACCCTCACACAAAAGTTTGTGTGATTATTAAAAACAAACCTGAAAGATTTAGTGGATGACTAATCTACTGTGTGGAATGTTGAGTTTAAGAACAAACTGTGATTCCAAAAAAAAAAAAGAATGGTTCAACACAAAGGCTGGAAATAATAAACACAGCTCAGAACATACCGAAGTCAAAACTTGATTTGTTCTTCCTGTTTGACTGTGTTAAGATCAAATACAAAGACAGTTAAGACGGTAAATCCCGTTAAGCTGCAGATAGAGGGTTTATATCACATGTTAAAGGTATAGTGGAGGATGTTCTTTTTCTGGGTGGATATATATATATATAAAAATAAGTGGTCCTCCTAATTTTCAATCATTCTCTTTATCTGTTTAAGTACGTCCGTCCTATGTGCTCGTCCTCATTTTCACTTAACGGTGGTGAGTGTAACTTATTGGAAAATTACAAAAAAAATCCTTTTTTAAAGTAAGCTTGTATGAGTGATGCAAACAGCAACTTTTAAACGGAGCTTGCATGAGGAGAAATGGGCTTGTGCACGCGTTTAATAGGCGTTCCCTCTCGGGAGCGGGTAAAGGGTTGTGCATGTGCATTATTATTATTTTTTGTGGGGCAGGTCTTTTCAAAAATTCGCAAAAATCCTCCACTGTACATTTAAATACAATTGGGACACAACTGGCTACTTCTATGGCAGCTGATTTTAGATGAATATTAAAACAGAATTTATGTTATAGCTCATAGTATACATATAATAAAATAACATCCAAAAGTTTATCTTTAGTGTTTTGTTTCTGTTGATTCTGGTGATTGTGGATTTTCAGCTCATTTGGACTTAAAAATTTTAACATTACACACACACAAAAGAAGATTTTTTTATCAACAGAAGGTTTTAACAGAGAGATGTACCTAATAAGTAGTGGTAAGTTAGTTGGAAGGAAAAACTTGCTCAAGAGGGTGGCTATTTAACAAGGATGATGACAGAAAAGACTGTCGTGTTGCTCATAGTTCTAGTCTGTTTCTGATCAGTCTTTTCTGATTGAAGTCAATATTTTCTTTCCTTTGGAAATCATGGCCCCAGAGTCTGAGGGAAAGGTGCTGAGGTAGATGATCCTTGTTGATTGTGGTCAAATGTGAAGCCAGTGTAGTTGTCTGAAGGTTTAGACTACATCCTGTTAACAAGATGGATGGAATGCTGAATCCATCTCTGGCAAACATGGTCAGAGGACAACCTGGTTTATAGAGCATTGTGTCACAGTGCTTCTTGGCCAACATGAGCTTTCTTTGAACCTTGGCTGAGACGTTCTTTATCAATCAGCTTATTGTTGCTAAAAGATGTCTGACTGCTTTACATGACCTTTCTTTCTCCATCCACAGGTTCATGCCTACATCATCAGTTCTCTGAAGAAAGAGATGCCTACTGTGTTTGGGAAGGACAACAAGAAGAAGGAGCTGATCGCCAGTCTGGGAGACATTTACAAGCGGATCGAGAGGGAACATCAGATTTCACCTGGAGATTTCCCTAACCTGAAGAAGATGCAGGTAAACTCAGTAATCTAGTATATCACAGTCGTGGTGGAGCTTAGGTCAAATCATCGTTCATCATATCGTTCTTGTTTTCCAGGATCAGCTCCAAGCTCAGGATCTCACCAAGTTCCAGCCTCTCAAACACAAACTTCTGGAGGCTGTCGACGACATGCTGGCTAATGACATTGCTAGCTTGATGGTGTTGGTGCGCCAAGAGGAAACCCAAAAGCCCAACCAAGTGGTGAAGGGCGGCGCATTCGACGGCACTCTGAATGGTCCGTTTGGGCACGGATACGGAGAGGGAGCCGGCGAAGGCATCGATGAAGCAGAGTGGGTGGTCGCCCGCGACAAACCTGCGTATGATGAGATTTTCTACACCCTCTCTCCTGTCAACGGAAAGGTGATTGGGGCCAATGCAAAGAAGGAGATGGTGAAGTCAAAACTGCCCAACACAGTGCTGGGAAAGATCTGGAAGCTGGCAGATATCGACAAGGACGGCATGCTGGATGACGAGGAGTTTGCTTTGGCCAATCACCTGATTAAGGTGAAGCTGGAGGGACATGAGCTGCCCTCAGATCTGCCTGCACACCTGGTGCCTCCATCCAAGAGGAAAATGCCTGAATAAATGGAAGATTTGATCCATGCCTGGAGAAAACTGTAAATGGAGGACTTCAACATACAAATGTCCCAAACAAAAAAGAAAATCCATGATGTCATTCAGTCCTGTTGTTTCTGTGATTTCATCGTCTTAATTCAAAGCAATACAAGCCCCATCAAAATAAAACCCAATGAATAAATAATTAACCTTGGATTAAGGAAAATACAGCATCTGTGCTTTTTCCTCTCATTAACAAACTGAATTTTGGTGTTTTACACACATTGTTTGTTGTTCCATATTTTTAGTTCTCCAGGTGATGGTGATTGCCTGTTTTTTTTCCAGGCCAACATAAATACTTCAAGATTCCCTGGAAGGCAGAAAAATCCATAAGCAACACTGAATTAATCAAATTCTGTTTTTTATTGCTCCAATTAGCTGAGGCCCTTGGCTCAACATTTACATTTAATTATAAGAATATAGAAGACCAATTCACTATTTTTTGTTTTGATTATGAAATTGTTTTGAATCTCTAACATGCTCTGATACTGTGACGATATTAACAATCCAGTATGTTTTGTCTGGATGGAGACTATAAATGTTGATCTTGCAGATACTTGTCATTTCTCTAGACTTGTCTTGGCTATTGTATGTACTCATTATTGATGTATGTACTCACTATTTGAGCTTGTGTATCAGTGTTAATATTTCTATCCAGTAATCATCTCGCATTTTCACAGAGTGTTAAACCTTTAGCGTTTTTTTAAAACAACAGTCCAATAACAGCCTGAATGAGCAAGTATTCGCTAAATATTTTGTTCAAACAGTTGTTTATGCTGATAAACTTTACATTATTTCATGTGTTAAACTTTATTAGAATGGTTCTAACATCTTACTTTAGCATTAGCAATGTTTAAAGTTTATCTTTTTCTGATCGGTCAATAAGGAGATGAAACGCTTCGATCTGATTCCAGAATAGATGGAAATCCTCACAGGTTGTGTTGGGAATAAAATGGGGTTGCATAGTAACTGAAGTTTATTATTACATTTTCTTTCATTTATATTTCTCCACTTCCATCATGAAGTTTATCATTACTTATTTTATTCTAGGTAAAGAAATGTTCGCCTTAGTAGAGTGAAGGCAGTAAAAGAAAAAAATCTGTTTCTATTTCATATTTTAATTTAAATATAACGTTCTAAATGATTTATAGCAGTTTAACAGCTAATGCATACAACTTCATAGGGTAAGTCAAACCTGTTTTAAATTGCTGGCCAGCTTTCTGCAGGTTTCCATTGGTATTTTAATGCTAATGAGGAACTCCAAGGCTTTTAATTCACAAGGCTCTTTTCTTATTGCCCTAATTTCTGACTTTATTCACAGATTCTTACTGAAATTAAGGTTAGTCAACAAGCTGATGATAATATATGATGAGTTAAACCTTAGTATCCCTGCACAGATGTGGAAAACTATTTGGGATAAACTGTATGGAAGTTTAAGAGCAGAGACCCCACTGGCTCCACGCTTGGTTTTTTATTCTGACATGATCATGCTGCCCCAGAATAAAAGTTTCTTTCTTACTGGGAAGTTTGTGCAACAATAAATATATAAATACTCAAATTACATTAGTTTGTTATTTTTACTTTTTCCTCTCTCTGGTCTTTTCCCCAAATACATTGCTAAATGATTAACAGCATGCTGCACTTATTACCTCGCTGCGTTTTACCAGATTTCTCGGTTCTATTGAAAGTGTGAAAGATGTTTGTGGAATGAGGATTGCAAAACCTTTCGCTGGTTAGTGGATTTCACATGTTCACGGATTGCAGCGTAACCGTAGTGACAAAGTTTGTGTTTCAGGGTGTTTCTGTCTCCGATGGTGATGCACTGGTTCATTGTGTACTTCACTGCTTTTCTGTCCTCAGAAAAAAAGTTGAAAAACTAAAATAAATATATTAAAAATGCTAATGCTGTGATTTATTTTAAATTCAGTACAATTATAAACATACTTTTTGAACAGTTTTGATGTTGAAATTATGCATTGAAAATGTATCTGTATTACAAATAGAGGTTATTAGGTATTATGTGCACCATTATTAATTGGCTTGTAAAAAGATATAAAGTGGAAATGAACAATATATTCCTTCAACATTCTATGCCAGGAGTAGCCATGTTGTATCCTAACAGTGGTTTAGCAGCACTTTTCATTTATTTATCTGTTTTATTTTTTCAACTTAGAATTCTTAAATTCGGACAGATATCAGATAAAATAAATATACTATAAAATATGAAATATGATAAAAATACTAAAAAGGGAACAGAGTTTAATATTTACATTTATACCACTTATCTTGTTTTATAGATTGCACCCTCAAAGAAGTTTCTAGAATTTCCTTCTTTCTTCTGCGGAATATTGCAAAAATTAGAAATACCCTGTCCAGGGGTTATGCTGAGAAACTAGTCCATTTATTTGTAACTTCAAGGCTGGACTATTGTAATTCTTTACTATCAGGAAGTCCACAAACTGTAGTTAAAAGTCTTCAGCTGATCTAAACTACTGAGTTCAGATGAAAATTTAAAATAGAAATCATATCTCTCCTATCCTGGCTTCTCTTCATTGGCTTCCTGTTAAATCTAGAATAGAATTTAAAATCCTCCTTCTCACATATAAAGCCTTAAATGGCCAAGCTCCATCTTATATCAGAGATCTGATTAGAATTTCTAAAAGTAGAATGGGAGGCAGATCTTTTAGGTATCAGGGTCCTCTCCTGTGGAACCAACTACCAGTTTAAGTCCATGAGGCAGACACCCTGTCTACTTTTAAGGGTAGGCTTAAAACTTTCCTTTTTGATAAAGCTTATAGTTAGAGGGGCTCAGGTTATCCTGAGCTATCTCTATAGTTATGCTGCTATAGGCTTAGAGTTCTGGAGGACATAGGGACCCCTATTTCATCATTTTGCTTCATTCTCTCTCCATTCTTCCACTCTGCAGAATAGTTTAATCTCTAACTTTATGCTCTCTCTGCCTTTTCTCATAGTAGCTTCACCTCATCTGTTCCTGTTTGGCTGTGACACCATCCTGGAGAGAAATATCAGCTGTGCTGCTGCCATCAACACCTTTGTTTATAGATGTTGGAGCTCGGCCTGTTTTACCAGTGGAGTCCTGTTTCTCTGACTGGCTGTATGTTCCCTTGACGGGGCCGCCTTTTACAACTGCTTTTTGTATCTCCTTGAACCCCAGTCAGCCTGGGTCTGCTGGAGGTTTCTTCCTGTTAAAATTGAGTTTTTCCTCTCCACTGTCGCTACAAGCATGCTTGGTGTGAGGGATTGCATCCGAGTCAATGAGTCGATGCAATCAATTGGTTTTCCTTAGATAGAAACTTTGAATCAATTTGACTGGATGATCTGGTGAACTGTAAAGTGCCTTGAAATGACGTGTTGTGAATTGGCGCTATAGAAATAAACTGAATTTTTTTTCTTGTATAATAAATTAAGCTGAACTATGTTGCACGAAGGGGAAGACAATAGTGTTTTTTAATTTGACCCAGGGTAAAATAACTATTGGAATTAAAATATTTCAACCGTCATTTAAGGGACAAACTTTAAATTACTTAAAATTTTCGTTCAGCCCTGACTTTGAAAGATAGGGTGCAAAATCTAGTAGAGTAAAGGAATTAAAATTCCTTCAGACATATTTTCTTCCCCTCTTGGGGCTCCTTATCTTTTTGGGGGGGTTAGGGAGGATTTCATTCTACAGTGTGTAACAGTGAACACAAGATAAGTTAATTATTACTTCTTTGCAAAGCTTTAGTAAAAAATTAGTTTGTGAGAAAGGAGATTCCAACTTTGGCCATGACTTTAGGACAGGAAACAGAGCGTGTGATTTCAGCCTGAAGCAACAAACATTTCTGTATCATCCAGGGACTTCTTAACGTATGCATGTTTATGTGGCAGGGGGCCAGAGGATCTCTATGGACTGGGACTTGCAGGCCCTATAAACCTTTAACACAATCACACACAGACACACTGGCCACATGCAACAAAATGCAGCAAACAAGTCACTCAAAGAACGGGCCGTTCTTGTCCACTACTTCCTGTCATGCTTTCTCCCATGAATCTATGCATCCTCCATTCAGAAAACCTGTCAAAAAGGTTTTTAATGGATTAGTGCATTTTTTTGTAAGATTGATATATGTATTCATGAAAATCTGTACTGTATAAAACATTTTCCCATGTCGTATCTTAATATTAATGACATTAACTGTATCTTTTTGTTTTTCTGCCATGCATCCGCACATCCTGATCTGCCATTGTTGAAAAATTGTTCCAAGATAACAAAGTAGATTTAATTTAGGAATCAAGGGGAAAACATTTTCAACTATTTCAAGTATGTTGTTTTTTTATCTTTCCTGTCAGGTGAACCAATCTACAGCAGAATGTTTTTTTAAATTACTGAGAAACAGATGAGCTGTGAGAGGCCAAAGCTTTCTAAGTCAGTGACAGATGAATTTCGTCTGATCGGTTCTGTTATTCTAGATGAAAAACACCTATAAAATTCTTCCCTATTTATCAGTGGCAATAAAAGAGGAACATCAGACAACAGGAATGTTTAAACGAGTGTGTGCATGTGTTTTGGTGAAGTAAATGTATGTGAATGTTGAAAGTAGTTGCTGAAGAAACACACTTGGGGAAACCATATATCGAAACAAATCTGGATCAGGAATTTGCAGAAAACTTGGTGGAGAAAAGTCTGACTATCACATCTCCTCCTAATATATGCTGGGTAGAAAGAAACACACTGCTGCTGCAGCAACTATTGCGTAATAACATGCAATGCCTTACTTTAAGACTTCTTTTTTACATTTTGTCACACTGAATACCAATTTAGAACTGATGTCTGTCTGTGAATAGATTTTTAAAACTGCCATTAAGTTATGAAAAAATATCCTAAGCTTTGAGCATTTCACTCAAGGTTCTTTTTGAAGTTCTTTATGTCCCATAGTAAGCATGTAAAAGATGGTACTGTATGAGAATAATACAACTTTTTTGTCAACATGCATGTGATGCATGCAGAAAACTGACATCTCATACTGGTAGAGTCATAGAGTGGAGATATTTTTCTAGAGCAGGGACAGGAGTGCGGATCAGTGCTGATGGTAAGAGCCAAATATAGAGGAAGAAAACCTATGGGAGGTCCACTAAGGACACCGACTGTGCCAAAGATTTATCTTGAATCAGATGAACATATAGCCAAAGTTTATAGATAGAAGCATTGGCTTTTGTTAGAATGGTAAACTTGAGAACTAAACCCTATTGTTGATGTAGACCTTAAACATTCACCAGAAGACATACAGCAGGTGAAAGGTGGTGCATAGTGTTTGTTAACTCACTTTTATTTTAAGGTATCACTGTAAAGTAAGCAGAAACAACAACAAAAAAATGCGGATTTATACATTCATTATTTTGTTTGAAGATCCACTATTGGTGGTGATTAATAAAAACCTGATATAATACATCACTGTTTGGGATGTAAAGGGAAAAAAATAAGGAAAGGTAGAAAGGGAGAGCATATCTTTACAAAAGGGAGAGCATATCTTTAAAAATCTTATTACATAACATATCTTACATATCTTACATAGCATATCTTATTACATAAATGTAATAAGAAATGGCAAATGCATTAAAAGGCTGGTTTATTTATAAAAACCCAAGACTCACACCTTAAGTTATGTAATTTTGCAATGTAGCCTGAATCTTCTTCAGCTTAAAAGTGAACACCAATTTACCTCTTATTGTGGAATCTTGGTTGATACCGATCACACCCTCTTTGAAACAGTGCAGGATGTCATACTGTATGGGGTGTGGGCACCCTCACATGCTCACTGCTGCCACCATCTGTAAGCCCAGCATCCTGACGCTATGCAAGCTCAGAATGCACCCCGTATCTCATTTTCTCTCTCTCTCCAGATATCTGGGATGTTTGTAATAAATACAAAGCTGGCTGAAATTCTTTGCAGGCGTTGATGAAGAGCAGGATTAGAATGAGAGGATTACTCATTGCTTTTGCTATCTGAGCCATGTGTGTCATCTTGAGACTGAGCAGTTTTGGCTCATCATCCATGCATGTTATGCGTTGGATGATTCTCACTATGCTAACAGCGTCTGTCAAACTAAGAAATAAAACAGTTGGAGATATCTGATGCAGAAGTTTTTGCTCATCATATTTTGAAAAAAGAAAAAAAGTTTATCTTGATTTTTCAAATCAACATGCATGCTTGAATGGGAGTTTATCTATTTATGCTGAACTTATTTTTAAGGATGAACTCTTGTCTATCTTGCAGCCAGTAAGCCTGGAGAGGCCAGAACTTATTTTTACCTGCTGCCTTTGATCTATAGGAATTTACATTTACTGCTGCTATTTACCCCCCACCATGTTTAACCCCTCTTGTGACTTATCAGAATTGTGACCATGTAAGGAGGCTGCTTGCTAAGCATAGGTCAGCAGCACCATATTCCTGGGGGGGCACATCACAGACACACTCACCTGGAATGTAAACACCACCTTACTGGTCAAAAGGGCACAAAAGCGCATTTATTTCTTGCAGAGGATGAGGAGAGCCCACCTGCCTCCACCCATCCTCACCGCCTTCTACAGAAGCACCATAGAGAGCGCTCTGACCAGCTGTCTCACTGTGTGGTGAGGAGGCTGCAGCGCCTCAGACTGGAAGAAGGTGAGAAGAGTGGTGAGAACTGAGGAGAAGCTAATCTTGGTTCCTCTTCCCTTAATAAAAGACATTTCATCCCAGCGCTGGGTGTCCCAAGCCCGTGACATTATCAATGATCCCTTACACCCCCACCATGACTGTTCTCCCTGCTGACCACTGGGAAAAGGCTTCACAGCATTCAATGCAGGTCCAGCAGATTCCGAAACAGCTTCTTCCGCACTGCCATCAGATTGCTGAAT